AAAATTGACAGAGTAATCACTAAACTCCAAACAGGACATACCAACCTAAATAACCACCTCAAAATAATAAGAAAACACGCAACAGGAACCTGCCCACATTGCAAACAACAAGAAACCCCAGAACACGCACTCATACACTGCGCCCACTACCTAACACACCGAACTACACTACAAACCACCCTAAATCTAAATAAGGCTCTTACTCTAGAAGCAATCCTAAACCCACAAAATATAATAGAAAAATTCAAAGCCTTAGGCTTATACTTAATCAAAACAGGACTAATAAATCGCATTTAATACCCCAATAAACTACCAAAACCAAACCACATAATCAAACTAACAAACTTCCAGTAACAAAGTAAGTAAGTAAGTAAGTAAGTAAGTAAGTAAGTAAGTAAGTAAGTAAGTAAGTAAGTAAGTAAGTAAGTAAGTAAGTAACCAAGGAAATGTATCTTACCAGAAAATAGTTTTTTCTACTTTAAAAGTTCTACTTATCAGATATAAAATAATGACAGTTTTGATATGCAATTCTCCCAACAAAGACATTTAACATTTGATTTACATAAACTGTACACAAAACCATAAGTTTAGATTAAGTGTACTTAAGTGTACTAAGTGTATATGCTAATATACAAGGCACACATAAAAACACACATGAATATACTGGCACACAGGCAAACATACATAATTTTTATATGCGTATGTACACGCTTGTGCACATATACCTCTACATACCGGCATATCACATATACAAACAAAAATTAGATTGATGCAATTGTTCCAAAATACTTTACATACAAAAACAAGCGAACAGATTCTGTAATAGCATGGTTAATATGGGGAGATGTTTTAGCATTTCCATTTTCACAGAATCAAAGTCATAACCTTTCATGACTCAGATCAGCTTGTAGTGATTTAAAATCATATAAAACTGATTCATGTCAAAGGACCCATCCCGCACTTGTGTCACCTTTTATAAAAATACCATTCATTACTTATTTTTGTGCCCAAATTATGCCATTATTAGAAAAAAATATGTATTATGGATGGATATGATATAAGAAAGCTTTATATGGTAATGTTGAAAATTATGTACAGGAAAACATTGAAATAATTCAATCAATATGTGCATTTATCTCAGAATCTGGTAGATTTAATTAATCAATATGGACTTCTTCAATTAGCTACTTATAATCAGTTGATTACATTATTGCTCAACTGATAGTATTGCATTAGTATAGAATTAGTATTTTATTAATACTTATTTTGTATTTGAGCAGCAATTAGATAAGCCATCGGCTTGTTTGCAAATCCAGTTCGTTATGAAATAAATATGTTTAAAACACATGTAGTAGAACATATTATTACAATAGTTATGATGTGAAAAGAAGTAATGTGTAAGATCCTCAAAATGGTATCCACAAGAGCAGGTAGTTGTATTATGTTGGTGTTTGTTGTTTAACTCTGCACTCAGCCATATTCCAGCTTAATGGCGGCGATCTGTAAATAATCAAGTCTGGACCAGACAATCCAGTGATTGACATCATGAGCATCGATCCACACAATTGGGATACGATGACATGGCCCAACCAAGTCAGCGAGCCTGATCACCCGATCCATTAAGTTATGTCTTACAACTAGCATAGGTTGATCATGTTGATGGGGACCAATTTCAACCTGGAATCCCCGCATGAGTAAGTATGCTGCTGTTAGATTTGATTGATGTCTAACGCCGCTCTCAGCAATATCGCAGCTATACGGCATGAGTCTGTAAATAATGAACAAAAGTAACTGTGACAGGAATCAAACCTGGGTCTTTAGCATGAAGAGTGAACGCTACAACCACTAGGCTACCCCACCACCAAAAATTCCCACATGATAAAGTTGTCATCATGGTTATTGTTTAACTAGGCCTAGTTCAGGTGAAAATGAAAATGTTCATACCCTTAAAATGTCTTATCTTCCACTTCACGACGATCACTGATGCAAAACTTCCCTGTCATTAAGTTTGTTCTTGATTCTTCACATCTGGAAAAATAGGTTGAGGCTATATTATTCATTCTCACAGAGTAAAGTGAGTATATGAAATAAGACAATGACTCAATGAGTCACATTAGCTTACAGAGTATCCAGTTAAAGTAAAACATATCATATACATAAGCAAACTACTAACATGTGATAGACAGGCTACTTGTCCTGTAAAAATAAAATCACACATTTACTTACATGTAGGCTATAAAAGTTAATGTGTCACAAGTAAGTTGCTTACAGGTGGTTAATGACTTTAATACGTGATCATTGTAATTGTCACATATTTACCTAGACCGCCTCCGTGGTCTAGTGGTAGAGCGTCCGCCCGAAGAGCGGAAAGGTCCGGGGTTCGATCCCCGGCCGCGTCATACCAAAAGACGTTAAAAGATGGTACTTGTTGTTACCCTGTGTGGCGCTCGACATTAAAGGGGCACTGATCTAACGCAATTCCCTGGACTGGTTGTTGCCTTTGTTATCGTTTTTTCCCCGTGAGTACCCGGATGATACGCAACGCAACTAAGCGTGACCAGAGACTGGGCTACCGTCTGCAAGGACAGCTAAATAAACTTGGAGGCTGGAGGCAATATTTGTTTTACGCATTTTTGCATAAACACTGATTGGTTAACCATGATCTATAAAGATTTCGACAAAGGGCGCATGTTAATTAATTTCTTCAGCCTAAACAAACAGACAAAAGGAACAGCGGATCTCATCGGATGTCGTCATTGTGAAATACCCCAGATGGTTATAGTTTAATACTAAAAAAAGTATCCATGCACTGAAAGCATTTTCGGATTTCGGATTGCGTCGATAATACGATTATTACTCCCTTGATGCCATCCACGTTTTCTCGTTTAACCCTACACTTGTGTATTTGTCGTCATTCACTTGATGCTCAGTTAATGAATTTATTACAGGTACAATTAGTGGTAGCACCACTTAGATTACCTGACAAAGGTTCCCATTTGGCATTTATTGTGTCTGGGGTAATTATTCAATCTAAATCCAGGTTTGAAGTGAGGTGAAATGTGTGTTATGTAATATGCACGTGGCAGACCAGCAAGAGGTTAATGATCAGTTGATTTACTTTTTTTTTGTAAATCAACGGATCATTCCTAGTCATAAAAGGATTAACAGAAAATACGTTGATTGATTAATCACTGTTATCTTGCACAGTGGATATGACAAAAGTGAGTGTTTACACGTCTAGGTTTAATAAAACAAAGGGAATACATGTACACTCATATCATGGCGTGAAGTGCCGATGTAAAAACAACATACTTTGTTCAAAGGGTGAACTGATAATACGTTGATTGATTGATCATGTTGATCATTGTTATCTATCACTCAATGGTATTTAGGAACCGTGGAAATAGTTGTCACGTGGGCTTTCTCAGCCGACCTTTGAGACTTGACACCTATGTGAAACACCTGAAACAATCCAAGTGATCAGTTGAGAAACGAACACGGGTCATAATAACCCGAAACGATATATATCTTTTAAAATATTTCTTTAATGCGCTATAGACGTTGTTTTCACAGGTCTTTTCCTTTGTAAGCGTGTATATATTACCGTCAATTTGTAAAATGTGATTCTCTCAGGCAATTTATAAAATGTGTAAATATTTCAGTCATTTTGACTAAAAAACCTGTCCAGATTGATTAAGACGACCAAAAGGGCCTACAAACATCACAACAGATTATTATGTAGGATTAGAAGCCAAACAACATAGAAAGTACTTTTCAACGTAACATTTTCAGTCTCTTGGTGATGACATTAAACATCAAAATGTTTGGAATTCGTTATCATAATAATACAGATGGAAATGTTTTTCAGTCACTTTGTAAAATAACTGAATATTTAGGCGTTTAATAAATTTGAAAATGTTACATATTTTGACAGTAAAAAAATATACACACTATAAAAAAGCAAGGCTCAGGTGAAATATGTACTTTGTGTTGCAAGACAAAATAGTGTAAACGAAAATCGCAAAATTACCAAGCAAGTGACTTACCAAAACTTCGTCACCATTACCGATGCTACCCACAGAGATACCTACATTTCCTTATTATCTCGAAAACTGTTTTTCATTTTGTTGATCAATGTGACCATACGCCCTTATTACTACCCATAAAAGTGACTAATGCGCTTACGAATGGCGCAACAGAGGTCGCGAACTAGTCTAGATTTCTGCTTTACATCCGGGTACTCACTGGGAAAAAACAATAACAAAGGCAACAACCAGTCCCGGGGAAGTGCGTTAGATCAGTGCCCCTTTAAGGGGCTACGCATGTCGCTATATAAGTGCAATAATCTTGGACGCGACGTTAAATCCCATTTCACCTCACCTCACATATTTACCTGAAAATGTCACTTCAGTTGCCAGCATGACCTCAGCTGCAATCTCAATATTTGGCCAATTTTGACGAGGTTGTGAAACATTCCTGCTGCAGGAATATCTAGTCCGCTGGGAGGGTCCTACTATTTAACGTCCGGGGACGCCCGGGAACGTCCGGGGGCGTCCGGAAACGTCCGGGAGGTTTCAGACGTCCGGAAACGTCCGGGAGGTTTCATCAGACGTCCGGGAATTTAAAAATACGGTGCAGTCAATAAAACATGTCTTTCTCTCAGTTTGGTAAGATCGTGAAAACTGGCGTACAAATAAATAGAAAAAAAATAAAAACAAACAAAAATGAGTACAAGTAACAGGGTAAAAAATATTTGATAGGCCGTAAAGGTTTTGTTCTTTATCCAACAAGGCGGACGTAAAAGTAAAAACAGACAATGTAAAAAATGTTTGTTTGTTTGTTTGTTTGTTTAGCGTCACAGTCAGCAATATTCCAGCTATATGACGGCGGTCTGTAAATAATCGAGTCTGGACCAGACAATCCAGTGATTGACAGCATGAGCATCGCTCCACGCAATTGGGATACGAAGACATTCATCAAATCCAAGACAACGAGCCTGACCACCCGATCCTGTTAGTCGACTCTTACCACAAGTATAGCCGCCTCTTACGGCAAGCATGGGTTGCTGAAGACCAATTCTAACCCGCGTACTTATTTACAATACATAAGATGTTTAATAAATAATCATCAATGTTCATCATATCTATCTATCCTACTTTCCTACAGTACATAATTTATTGTTGAAAATACTACTTTCTTAGAAAGTGAACGTCTTTGCTGTTTTAATCCTCTTTCGTTGTTCTGGTTTTCGGGCTGTCTGTGGTGTCTTGGGAATGTTGAGGCGACCATCAGACGAAACAGTAATGCTTTTTTGACATCTGGGGCCACGCAGGAACTTCCGAAAATGTCTGTCTTTCTCCTGTTGGCTTTTTGATGTCCAGCAGGCATTGGACAATTTAAAGCCTGCCATCCACGGTGTCAGTTGGTAGTTGCCTTGGCCGTAGAGGGCACGGCGCATGTCAGCATACTGGATTTTTACAATTGTGTGAAGTTTGTCAGTTAAATCCGGGATTTTCAATGATTTCCAATTGGTACTTAATTTGATGATGTTGTTCATGCTCTCACAGGCATTATTAGTCCAATGTAACGGAACTGCTTTTGGTCTTTCTTTTGAAGGCAGGAAAATGTCAGTTTTTATAGTTTTAATGACTTTAGAAAGGTAGGAAGAGGAATCGGGAACAGTTGTTGAAACAATGTCTTCTAGTTCCATTTGATTTAGTTCGAACTGATAGGAGTCATGGCTATTCACCAGTCCGGAGGGTCCAAAAATCTTCTGATGAATGAGTCGTATCTGCTGATCTGAAGCGCCAGCCTGATGTCGAAGGTGTCTTTTTATATTTTGTTCTATGTGCCGTTCACATAAAATGTGTGTGGAAGCGGGGAAACAGTTTCGGAGGGCCTTAATCAAGCCCCTTTCTTCATCAGATCCAATTACCAGTTGTTTCCCTTGTGTCTGAGTCCCCCCAAGATTAGAATCTAGAAGTGCCTGGATATGTGAAAAAAATCTGTGATATGTTAAGTATGACCCATCCCAGTGAAGATAAAGGGGGCCTAGCATTATTGGATGGGTCTCTGTACCTTTTCTGTGTAAGTTCGGATGTTGAAACACTAATAAAGTCACAAAACATGCTCCTAAATTGAACGTCCTACCAACTCCAACTACAACCGGTTTTTCTGAGGCACTTGTACAGAACTGTTTTAATTCCTTAATTTGAACCTGTGTGTATAAAATTACTGACGGCGGTTTTCCTTTACACTGAATAATCTCTTGAATGAACTCGTTGGTGTGAATCGAGTTAATGATGCTGATAAGGTCATCTGCAGTGTTCTGCCGCTTGGTGCCCTTGTCTTTTCTCACTGACTGTTTTAAATTTTGTACTTGTTTTAGATCTCTGGCAGCTAATTGTTCTCCCTGCTGCAGGTGCTTATTGTACACATCTCGTGCTGGTTGTGTCTTCACCTCTTCTCTTATCTGCTCGATGACAGTGTCGGGCGTCCTCACAAACTCGGCGGTAGACTTTTTTGAATTTCCGTGAATGGCACAGGACTGTAAAATTGAAATAAAACATAATTGAAAAAAAGTATTAACTCTCAGCTGCATGAGTATACAGCTTGGATTTTATAATTCCGAGGGAGTTCAGACTGACGAAAATGAACGCATACAGATCGTTTGATCGGGGGAAAACAGAAGCGCATTTGAGCAATTATTGACTGGAAGACTACTATTTAGAATAATTAGATTTATATTTCATTCTTGATATTATTACAGAGATTTGCAACCTTTACACACAAGAAATAGGCCTACCTCGGGAAACTTGCCAGTGTATTCGACAATAGGTACTTGTGGATGAACAGGAGCGTGGCCGGTGGGGAACTGTTCAATCCAAGTCACCCGCTTATGATAGTCTGCACATCGCTTCAGTTTGTTATAATAGCGTTTAACAATTAGGACTTCGCTATTTGGAGGCTGAATTGCCATCGGTACTCTCATACTTTTTTTCATTACACAATACAGTCCTTCCTTTTGCTCTAAGTATGTAAATTTGCCATTGACAAAATGATAAAAATGTTTCTTTGTCGACCCCTTTCCCCACACACCACAATCATCTACAAATTTAATTCGACGGGACATCGATCTGCGGGATATATTCTGAGAGTTGTCACAGATAAATGTTTCGTTTTCTTTTATTCCTACAGGAATCTCTGACTGAATGTCTTTCGCATTGATTACTGTCTGAAACAACTCCGGGACGTCCATGAACCTTCCACTGTTGGATACGGAACCACGGACACTTGGTGATGAATCCTGTAGGGACAGCTCATCATTACTTGGAGTGAGAGATGAATCCTCCATGGTGGACACAGGAGGTGCTATTATCTCGACTGATGTATCGTTGGCTGTATGCTGAAACAATCACATCATATACATGAGAGAGATATCCCTGACATAAGCCACACGTACGTATGACCAGACAATCCAGTGATACATATCATGAGCATCGATCCATGCAATTGGGATCGATGACATACTTAAACCAAGTCAGCGAAATTGGCCACCCGATCCCGTTAGTCGCATCTTACGACAAGCATAGTCGCATCTTACGACAAGCATAGTCGCCTTTTACGGCAAGCATGGGTTGCTGAAGACCCATTCTAACCCGGATCTTCACGGGTGCGAATTAAATTTAAATAGAAAAGTTATATTATAAATAAAGTCGTCACAAGTGTTAATATGAACGTGAAATATGGACCTCGTCTAAGACATTATCGTAGACTCGTATTGAAAAGCAAAAAAAAAAGACGAATTCTCTCTATATATAGAGAGAGAACTCGTCACTTTTTTATATAATATCGAAACTGGATGAAAGAGATGCTTACGTCGAGTGACGTCAGATCAAGGTCCATCGTTATATCTGCAGGAGCGGCAGTACCGGAACAGTTCACGTCCTGTAAAGTGAATAATCTTGTCATTCGATGGTTTGTCTATACACGCCTATGAGGCAACTTAATTCATATTAAGACAATAGTTGGCGTACTCTTCATTATCTAATCAACATTTTGACATAATAATTTGTAAGATCATGGTACCTTTATTTGGCTGATATCCATGTCAATCGGGGTTTCGCTGAATACCGGAGAAGACGTTTCTGGCTTCATCTGCTAACAAACAGTATATTGATAAAACTTACAAGACGTATCCGATATGTAGCAATTAGTATATAGCATAAATATATGGTTTCACTGGACATACAGCTAATACATGTATATGAGTGACATACGTTTTTCTCAGGTGTTGAGGTGGTTTGTGTCGTGACGAGGCTTCTTCTACTTTTGGAAATGTTCTTCTTGCTTTATCTGCAAAGAGATAATGACCATTAAATATTTTGGTCGAAAAATAACTAACCATATCTCACCTCTGATCTCAAATGTTACAGTTTAAATTAACATCAGAATCAGCACTTACAGTTTTAGGAGGCCTCACTGATGGTGTAGGCGAGATGGTGATGACAGTATCCCTGGTATCTGTCGCATCGAGTCGCAGAGTGTCACCACTGCTACCGTCGCCTTGATCTAAGAGGCAGTTACTGATCTGGGACATAAGTGAAATATAATACTATCAGGAAAAGATAAGGAATATAACAGAATGACATATAATATGATCTCATTGGAATGTTACAGTTATGCACATGTCATCTCTTCAAGGGCAATGTGTAAAGTATTCATCGCCTGTTGAAGTTTTTTAAAATGACTACGATCGATGATCCTATCCAAGCCTCTTAATTAGTTGTTATATTATCTATTTATTTATTGGTCTTGTCGTAATAATAGCTCTTAAGTGTTAATGTTATATTGTTACCTGTTATAACCGACGTTATACAACATTTATTGCATTTAACGCATCTATAAATAATTTTGTTAAAAAGAGAAATATAATACATACAAATAATTGACATACACTTACGGTAATATCTGGTAGTCCCACTGTAGCCCATTTCCTCTTTTTCATCGGGGGTTGAATTTGCTCACTAAGTAGGACAAAGTGGTTAGGTAACCAAATCCTGTCGAGTTCCGATGCAGGGGGTGTTGTGGTACAACTCCAAGGTATTTTAATGGGCTTGGCGGAAGATGTCCTGCGAGATTCAATGTACGGTTGAGGATAGCAAGAGACTGATCCATCATGCCATTGATTGGGGGATAACACAAGATTATGTTTCTTCCAACAACAGAAGCCACAGCGTGCATAGTCCAAGCAGATGAGTGTGACTTATCCTTTGCACATTCCAGGGTAGCGCTTGTGTAGTCTGTACTGACAAGAGACAGACGCCTGTTGTCTGATAATTCAGTGTAGTAAGGAGCATTCAGTGTCATTTCGATACATGTCCTCACTCGCAGTTCTGTGGCTCTGATTTCTGACCCAAAGACACCAATACTGACAGCGTTGAACAGACAGTTCCCGTTTCCTGTCACCTTCAGTGGACTTTCGGGCATCTTACCACCGTACTGTTGAATAATTGACGCAGCAATATCATCAATAGCATTTGTGGTCACGCTGTTCGGTTTGTTATTTACAGTCAGTTCAGGCAAATTTGAAACCTGGGCTTGGACTTCCGTAATGAGACTCTCAATACCTTTAAAATAAAAAAAAAACTCAAGTTTAGGCGATTGCAGATTGTGTTCAAAAGGGTTAGTATATACTAAGTTGTGAGTAGTGGCAGTAATTGGATTGATTAATCGACACCATTAATTAATGTTATTATAACAAATTGGTGGTTTGATGAATTGCGTATTGCTTGATTCTCTTCGACAATGTCATAAAATACTTTCCATGTAAAACTGTATTCCAAAACTAACATCTAAATTAAAAACTAACTAGTTTATCGCAGTGTAGATCTTGCATAGTGTTATAAATTATTATTGTTCTGCACAAAGATGTTTAATTAAAACGAACTATCTAAATCAACAACAAAAAAGGGCAAAGAGTCAGGGTTTTCACCTACCGAGGGATGCAGCTTCCTCAAGTTTGTCCAGTACAGCACTGTAGTTGAATCTGCACGATGTACAGCAATACTCCCCAGTCCTGGCAGACAATTCTTCGAACTTCTTATCTGTGAGTCCCTCGCACTTAGGGTGGTGCCACGCCTTGCACTGCTCACAAAACACGCCCTTACGACAACCACGGTTGCACACCCGGCAAGGGTTGCTGATTGTCCTGGTGGATTTCTCTTCCACAACAAACAATCCCATTGTCGAGGTTTTCGGTTTCTACGAAATTCCATGATTGCGAATTATTACTCTCTCTGATAGCAATTTCAGATTGTAATGCTACAGTAAGTACTTACTTTGGAGATTTAACGTGCGCTTTCCGACTGATGCGTATTTCGCACACGGGCCCGGCCAGGCCATTTAATGTGTTTCCGAAAGGGGCGAAAGTGGTCTGTGGAACCCAAGGGGAGATTTTAGGGGTTGCTTATATAGAATTTGGGAATTTTGAGATTTGGAATAGATGCCGATGGGATTGGGGAGGAGAACTAAGGGAGGTGGGTATGGTGGATGTTTGTTTGTTTACGTGATTTTGATTTGGTAGGTTATTGTGTTTTTAGATGCGTTTTATTAGTTCCGTTTTTATTAAGAATACGCCTAAGGCCTTGAAGTTTTCTAGTTTATTTTGTGGGTTTAGTATTTCTTCTAGAGTGAGAGACTTGTTTAGATTGAGGGTGGTTTGTAATGCGGTTCGATGTGTTAGGTAGTGTGTGCAGTGGATGCGTGCGTGTTCTGGGGTTTCTGGTTGTTTGCAGTGTGGGCAGTTACCTGTAGTGTGTTTTTTTTTTTAAAATTAGGTGGTTATTTAGGTTGGTGTGTCCTGTTTGGAGTTTAGTGAATACTCTGTCGATTTCTTTGGATTGATGGAGAAATTTTGGTTTGGTTAGTGGTTTGCTGAGCACTTTTTTGATTTGGCTATTTGAGTTTAGATATAGGTTATACCATTTTTTTGTGGTTTTTTGCTTGTTTACACTTTTAATTTCTGATTTTGATATGGGTAGCTACAGTAAGTTTAGAATAGAACTATTTATGTTGTACGTGTTTCTGACGTAGAGATGACATGAGATGTGAGAATTGACCCGCTTAATGTTATTACAACAATTCCTAGAGAAACGTGGAGATGACATGAGATGTGAGAATCGACCCTCTTAATGTTATAATAACAGTTCCTAGAGAAACGTAGAGATTACATGAGATGTGAGAATCGACCCTCTTAATGTTATTACACCAATTCCTAGAGAAACGTGGAGATGACATGAGATGTGAGAATCGACCCTCTTAATGTTATTACAACAATTCCTAGAGAAACGTGGAGATTACATGAGATGTGAGAATCGACCCTCTTAATGTTATTACACCAATTCCTAGAGAAACGTGGAGATGACATGAGATGTGAGAATCGACCCTCTTAATGTTATAATAACAGTTCCTAGAGAAACGTAGAGATTACATGAGATGTGAGAATTGACCCGCTTAATGTTATTACAACAATTCCTAGAGAAACGTGGAGATGACATGAGATGTGAGAATCGACCCTCTTAATGTTATAATAACAGTTCCTAGAGAAACGTAGAGATTACATGAGATGTGAGAATTGACCCGCTTAATGTTATTACAACAATTCCTAGAGAAACATGGAGATTCACCATTTAAAAAGAATAGGGGTGTATGTAGGGTTTTTTTCCAGCTGTATGTTATTTAGTATAATTAATACAAGAACACAATTATAGAGATTACACTCTATTTTTTAGTATCGCTCTCCCGGACGCTCTCACCAGATGCTCTCCGGCGTTGCCTGGACGCTATAGTACCGGACGTTTTACACTCAGTGAGCCATCTGGGGCCACGCATGAACTATTGAAAACGTCTGTCTTTCAGTATTAGTTATGGAATAGTATACAGAATATGACACCATAAAAGAACGTTATATTTTTTTTCCATAAGCAAATTTAGATTGTATCCTTCAAAGCCCACGTTACGAATACCTCGTCAGTTCGAATAACATCAAATCGTATTTGCTTTGCAGAGTCACCATTTAAAAAGAATAGGGGTGTATGTAATGTTTTTCCCAGCTGTATGTTATCTAGTATAATTAATACAAGAACACAATTATAGAGAATACACGTTATTATTTAGTATCATTCTCCCGGACGCTCCCTGGCATTGCCCGGACGCTCCCGGACGCCTGGACGTTTCCGGACGCCCCCGGGCGTTATTTAGTATGACCGCGCTGGGATATCCCTTTGCCTTATTGCTGGCATGCCAGGCAAACACATATTCCATACAACTGTCAAATTCCCCGCTGCTCCTAATATGGCCTGAGATGAACTTATTTGGCAACCTCGTCCCTTTCCGTAACTGCTGCAGAAATGACCGATCGCGTTCAGTGTCTAAGCTGTGGCCCCGTCTCTAATATCACAATATAGCTTGGCGCAACTTGATGACGCGCATAGGGAGCCGTGAACCAGCTTAGTTCAGTGTCGTGAACACACTCCGTCGCAATGGTGACTCAACATAACAGCAGTGCTTCGTGACATAATGTTCCGTGATTTCTGTGCAGAGATCTTATGGAAAGGATTGATTTAGATATTTTCCTGATCTATATACTTTACTGTTAACGTCAAGGGCCCTTTTTTTAGTATTATGATGAACTGTTTGTTATGACGACAAGGATTTGCATAAGGGTCGTAATGGATTTGTGGTCAAAACACGGTGATTTAAATTAGATGCGTTTTTGATAGATAATGATGCAAATTGAAATTGTTAATAAGTACAAATATCTAGGAACGATTATTAACACTTAACTTTCGTGGGATGCTAATACAGACTGTAATTTACAATAATGACCAACAAAGACTTTATTCTCTTTAATAATGATTACACTGTCATGTCCTTGTTTTGTATAAGCTTCATAACTCAATAATTCAATTGGAATGACTTTGACCTTGGCAAAGATCGTTTTGCAACAAGTGATTCCCTATGTAAAGTGTGTGTTGAATGACCCTGGCTTTGTTGTCGAATAATTGTTTGACAGTTGTTAAATATGGGGTTAAGTTTTATCTCTGAAATATTTCAATAAGGACAGTTCTAAGTTGGAATCTTCAATTTTCAATTGAATCCAATGTACAACATGTACAGTTAGGACGTTTCTGTAATGTGAATGCTACTTATGTTTGCAGTCTGGATGAATAAAAGAGTCAGTCATCTGCGCAGCATCAATGGAAAGAGAGAAGCCCATAGAAGAGAAGCAATGAAGAACAAGAGTAGAGCAACAGTGAGTGGTAAATATTTAAAATTATTCTGTTTGGTTCATCATGTTAATGTAGCTATTCTGCAAATATTTCGTCAGTTTGCTTGTTCTTTATGGACAATATCCCACGTCCTTGGGGTACGATTACGAGTGATCAATGAGCCCACTTACTACCTCATCTATTACTTTGGCTTTTTAACAGCTGTAAGTTAATGAGTGTTTCAACTCATCGACATGGAACAATATATATCTCAAATGTTTGGTATATATATTACAAGACTCATATACGATGAATTAAGTGAATTTGCTGCCTTCTATCTGTAAGTACATGTTGAAACAATTCTTTTTTATTCTAATCTTATAATCTTTATACACAATTCTGCAGAAACTGAAGTCCAGCTTGAGATCCGTGGATGAGTACTCCAGGTTGACAGTCTGGAAGGACCCTTCCATATTTCAGTAGTGATTGGCAGACAGTGATGAGGAGTCCTGTTATTTCAATGGAAACCGACTGAGACGTTGTATGCCAAGTGGGCACTGGGACACACTCACAAAGGCTGGTCTGGTTTATGTGAGAAGACCAACCAATGCCAAGCCGGAGTGGGATTCTTCAAGGATGTTCAAGAAATTGTTGTCTTCGGCCATGTGGTAATCACTTGAAAGGAATGATGAATGGGACTTATTGTCTATAAATGTGGACCCAAACACCAAATAGAATGTTCACAATTCTACTAACACAATGCAACGGGGATAGAACCAATCTGGCCTCCCCTCATCCTGGTTCCTGTTCTTCCATGGCAATATAGAAGCAAAGGAGGTTTGAGGGCAAGTAACTCTGAACTGGTGAGCTTGGTCTGCTGGTGCTTTCAAGCGAACAGTTATTCTGCTCTGTTATGAGTATTGAAGAATAGGAGGAAATTGCATACTGCATCAGGAACCATCATGTGAACACTGATCAATGTGTGATATAGGCATATAAATAAAAGAAATTGATAATTGTTTGTTGTTCATGCTTCATTAGCCAGCTGTGTAAATGGGGATGTTCAATGATTTTGACTCAGTTTGATAGCCACAGTTATCTTATGAAACCATGCACTGCTTGGACATCTGAGGAATAACATGTGTTTCCTTAGCTCTGGGAAAGTCTGATGAGACATTGATCTGTTATGTCAAAGGTCAATGTCATAGCCAGACAAAAAGTTTGTTTTGGGCCAAACTGTTCCTTAGGGCAGGGGTAGAAGTTGGCAAAAGGTCATGCATGACCTACATATACTTATTTTTTCTCGAAAGTGCCTTTTTCTGCAGAAGTCTAAATAACACATACATTTAGTGGTATATCATTTTCATACTTTTGTCAATGTTGCATTGAATTCCATCAAAGGACATATTTGGTTTATGTGCTGGATAGCTCTTTGAAATGTTTTTGAAATATTTGTCACTGATATTGAAGGTCAAAAGTGATGACTCATGAAGGGTTGAAGTGTAAGATCAAGGCAATAGTGAAGGTCATTTATAAAGAATTTTCTTCTATTATCACTAAAATGCCTATTTCTGGAGATAAGGAAGTATTGTGAAGTATTATGCATGCAGTATTATATAATATGTTATTTGAATACTCATGTATGAGCAGTGGTAACAAATCACAGTCACCTAATTTCAATGAGTAGCATAAGCCATATTTTCATTGTTGCATATAATTCTGCCTAGGGCCTTCATAAGTGGTAGAAGTGATATGAAGCCCTTTACAATTGTTTCTAAAATAGTCGCAACTAATATTGAAGGTCAAATTAACTTTCAATGTCTTTCAGTAAAAAATGTTCACAATAACTGAGGTAGAGCTCTCTGTTGTGTGATGAAATCTGGTACATGTCACCCTCAGAGTGAGGCATATTGTGTTTCAAACTTCAATGAAGCTGGTATGTCCAGATATGACAAGTACTTGTACCTTTACAAATAATGTTATTGTCATCTCACCAGGACCAAAGGCCCGAATAAGGACAGTCGATGACTTTATACTTTCACTCAGAACAAACTGGAAGTCTGAACATGAAATTTATGGATATCATCATTCATTTATTATACCCCCGACAAAATGTCGTCGGTATATAGTTATACCAAGATTCCGTCCGTCCGTCTGTCCGTCCGAAAACTTTGTCCGCGTGATTTCTCTTAAACTATTCAGTGGATTCATCTCAAACTTAGTACATATAATCTGTGTCATATGGAGGGGTGCAGTCAAAAGAAAAAAAAAGTTTTTATTAATTTTCCATTTTTTTATGAATTTTTCAAACCCTAATGTCCATCTGAAGACTTTGTCCGCGCGGTTTCTCTTAAACTATTCAGTGGATTCATCTCAAACTTAGTACATATAATCTGTGTCATATGGAGGGGTGCAGTCAAAAGAAAAAAATTGTTTTTATTAATTTTCCATTTTTTTATGAATTTTTCAAACCCTAGCGTCCGTCCGAAAACTTTGTCCGCGCGATTTCTCTTAAACTTTTCAGTGGATTCATCTCAAACTTAGTACATATAATCTGTGTCATATGGAGGGGTGCAGTCAAAAGAAAAAAATTGTTTTTATTAATTTTCCATTTTTTTATGAATTTTTCAAACCCTAAGTTAACCCTATCCTAGCTATTTAATTTGTAACTACTGACACACTAGGCGGGTCGGGGGTATTAGTGAGCCACGCTCACTTTTGCACTTGTTAGAACTGATGTTTGTTCATTAAACAGCTTAACATCTAAAAGGAATTATAGATGAAATTGAAAAATTGTCTTCTTCACAAGTACATGCCCATAGATCTCAACTTTTACAACTAAAATAACACAAAATATAACAACAGCTATCTGATATACCCAGGCTAATATTATTGACTAGAAAAAAGACATCTTGAAAAATCCTACCAATGTTCAATTTTCTGGGTTACTTTCAAATATATTTTTAGGTGTTTCACACCGAATTGAACAAAATGCACACACCCCGAATTGTGAGTGATTGAGTGAGTATGGTTTTACGCCGCTTTAAGCAATATTCCAGCAATATCACGGCCGGCATTTGTGACATTTTCTTTTTGAAATTCTGAATGAGGTTTCCGGTGTGGTATCCAGCAAGTTATCTGCCACCGGATACCCGGATGCGTTTTGGGTAAGTGTCCGGAGGTATCCGGATACCAGAAACTGCATTTTTTTTGCTGTGATACCGATATAGAGAAAATAACAAGGACTGGACGGCTCGGAGTCATTATACTGTGTCTGAAAGGGGTATCGTGTTAAAATGTGGCTTGGTATCTTAGTGGGCTATGTAGAACTATAAAAAACGTTAGTCCTCATGTCATAACATTTCACCTCCCGCACACAATGTAGCAAAAATATATGTTTCATATTCTTCAGAATCCACTGAACCAAATTTGCTGAAAGTTACCATAAAAGCTTGTCATAATACGTTTGAAGTGTTACAAAATGAATGATAATAGTTTTGAAATACGTTGAATGTTTCTCTCCAGATTCATGTTCAGTTACTTATTTAATATTTGTCAAGAAGTCCTCAGATTTGTTTGTCTGACTCGCATGAGGTGGTTACGTTAACAACTAATGGTGTTTGTAACAATTTAAACAGCTCATGGTAGCTAATCCGATATCCCATTAACTTCAGTGTATATGAAGGGATAGTCGATATACCGTTTTAGACTTCATAATAATTATATCTTCCTTCTGTACGTGAGTATCAATTTGGGGGAGTCTATGGACATCGCCTAACAGTTTTGTGGACATGTTCCTATTTCTGCTTTTATTTACAACATAGTTAAAGTTTTCACTAAGAACTGGACATATAATTCTCGTCCTACGGAATGTGGTAGTTACGTCAAATATGACAACCACAGTTGTCATCCGATCCGGAAAGCGCCAATAAGGAGAAAGTAGTGTCAGTTGTCAGTAGCTGATATCAAAACGGACAGATACTTAAAGTGTACTGATCAGGTGAGTGGGTTACTGCAATTATCCATATATCGGTGACAAAAAAGCATTTGATCGGTGTCTTTGCATGTTACGCCTTCGAAGTACGATATATCTACACGGATTGGTAGGGTGACAAAAGACGTCGATCAATATCGATAGAACGCGTTCATTATTAAAGGTCACAATTCATTGCGACTGACTCATTTATCACAAAGTCCTTCATCCGTCATACATACACTTACCGTAATGCTTCTCGACTGTTTGTTTCTCCGTATTCGCTCGACTAATGGCGTCACCGCTGATACTGACATGGATTTAAAAATAGATTTCTGGGAAGACCACATTCAATGTTTGTTTTGACAACCGCCATCGAAGGTACGTGTAACGGTATCTAATGCAGCACATGCAAGCCAACCTGAATAGCAAGGCGGTTAGTATTTCACTTGACTTTGACTTGTTGAGGTTACAGGATTAACACACGATGTGTCCTCGCGTTCCACTGGAAAGTTTCCAGACGACCACTTATAGAATGAGTTACATACTTATGAGGAATATATGTCTGTGGTGGTATATTCAGTAGTAACGGTAGGTACATGTAGCTAGGTAAAGTATATTCTGTTTGTTTGTTTGTTGTTGAACTCCGCAATCAGCAATTGCTACTACTACTATATTACAGCGGCAATGTACAGACAAACCAGTGGTTGATATTATGAACAACGCCCCACTCTGTATGGGTACGATGACACACAACCAACCACGTCATCTAACCGAACCACGGTACTTAGTCGCTTCAAACGAAAATTAGATGAATTTATGGGTCATGTCAAAATATACCTCAATATTAATTGGAAAATTTAGTGATGCACAATGTCAGTCTATAGGCATATGAAACCGCCGTGGCGTATATGATTTCTTCTCTTTGTTATTTTTTGTTGTTGTTCATTGTTAAAGTGTTAGTATTCTTTGAAAACTCACGTTCCGGTGACTTGCAATAGGTAGCTGTGAGCTTGCCAACTTTGGCGTGTTAAACGAACACTGCTATTGAACTATCCTTTGTTAACTTAGAATTGTGGGGCATGACATACACCCTCTCGCTCAAATATTCGTCAACCAGTAGCGTCCACGCCGCAAGCTCGTTAACAGTTTTGCAATCAGTTTCCGATCGAGGACCAAACCTAACTAGACTTCGATATTATGTCGTTGGATTTAGACCAAATGGGATATTTTAAAAGATCCTCATATTAAACAGGTAAAGCGGGATCATGATATTATTAAAACTGGTTTCCATAGCTTACTTTTAACATATATTAACATATATCCTGTTGAAGGATATAGAATCTATTAATAATTTTTGTAAAATCTGATAACTTGCGTAATTGATTTGCATTAAGAAGATCAAAGGCGAGATTACTACTCCTGAATTGTTTTCGAAAACCTGCCACATCGGTCAGTGATAGTTATGTCAAGTGTCACAGTACTATGTCAGTGATAGTTATGTCAAGTGTCACAGTACTATGTCAGTGATAGTTATGTCAAGTGTCTCAGTACTATGTCATTGATAGTTATGTCAAGTGTCACAGTACTATGTCAGTGATAGTTATGTCAAGTGTCTCAGTACTATGTCAGTGATAGTTATGTCAAGTGTCACAGTACTATGTCAGTGATAGTTATGTCAAGTGTCACAGTACTATGTCAGTGATAGTTATGTCAAGTGTCACAGTACTATGTCAGTGATAGTTATGTCAAGTGTCACAGTACTATGTCAGTGATAGTTATGTCAAGTGTCTCAGTACTATGTCAGTGATAGTTATGTCAAGTGTCACAGTACTATGTCAGTGATAGTTATGTCAAGTGTCTCAGTACTATGTCAGTGATAGTTATGTCAAGAGTCACAGTACTATGTCAGTGATAGTTATGTCAAGTGTCACAGTACTATGTCAGTGATAGTTATGTCAAGTGTCACAGTACTATGTCAGTGATAGTTATGTCAAGTGTCACAGTACTATGTCAGTGATAGTTGTGTCAAGTGTCACAGTACTATGTCAGTGATAGTTATGTCAAGTGTCACAGTACTATGTCAGTGATAGTTATGTCAAGTGTCACAGTACTATGTCAGTGATAGTTATGTCAAGTGTCACAGTACTATGTCAGTGATAGTTATGTCAAGTGTCTCAGTACTATGTCAGTGATAGTTATGTCAAGTGTCACAGTACTATGTCAGTGATAGTTATGTCAAGTGTCACAGTACTATGTCAGTGATAGTTATGTCAAGAGTCACAGTACTATGTCAGTGATAGTTATGTCAAGTGTCACAGTACTATGTCAGTGATAGTTATGTCAAGTGTCACAGTACTATGTCAGTGATAGTTATGTCAAGTGTCACAGTACTATGTCAGTGATAGTTATGTCAAGTGTCACAGTACTATGTCAGTGATAGTTATGTCAAGTGTCTCAGTACTATGTCAGTGATAGTTATGTCAAGTGTCACAGTACTATGTCAGTGATAGTTATGTCAAGTGTCACAGTACTATGTCAGTGATAGTTGTGTCAAGTGTCACAGTACTATGTCAGTGATAGTTATGTCAAGTGTCACAGTACTATGTCAGTGATAGTTATGTCAAGAGTCACAGTACTATGTCAGTGATAGTTATGTCAAGTGTCACAGTACTATGTCAGTGATAGTTATGTCAAGTGTCACAGTACTATGTCAGTGATAGTTATGTCAAGTGTCACAGTACTATGTCAGTGATAGTTATGTCAAGTGTCTCAGTACTATGTCAGTGATAGTTATGTCAAGTGTCACAGTACTATGTCAGTGATAGTTATGTCAAGAGTCACAGTACTATGTCAGTGATAGTTATGTCAAGTGTCACAGTACTATGTCAGTGATAGTTATGTCAAGTGTCACAGTACTATGTCAGTGATAGTTATGTCAAGTGTCACAGTACTATGTCAGTGATAGTTATGTCAAGTGTCACAGTACTATGTCAGTGATAGTTATGTCAAGTGTCACAGTACTATGTCAGTGATAGTTATGTCAAGTGTCACAGTACTATGTCAGTGATGTACCTGCTAGGTCATCCTTATGACAGACAGGACCAAGTCGACAACACATTAAAAAACTGCATGATATTAACAAGGTCTAACTTCACATGGCAGTGACTGTTTTCTGGATGTGAATAGATATTGCTAGAATGAAACCTGATTTGGTATGTAGCTACACGGTCAACGTTAACCAAGTTGTGTCATCAGGTGCGTAACCATATTTGTCACAATTATTTTATTTTATTCAGAATAACCGTGGAACACATCTAATTATAAGAAGGTTCTACAAACAGCACACCAGTGTCATGATTAAGATGTCAGGCTTCATGGTACTTGGATGTCTGTTTCTCTTGTTTCATTTACACGAATATTCTGCTCAATACTGTGCGGAGGGATATGTACGTGTACGTGCGGGCTGGGTTAAGTGTACACTAAAGAAAACCTGTCAGGAAAGAGGTTTCGTCATTCATAATGGCTTCTGTCGTCGATCCTGTCCGAGGGATTTTTACATTTCTCAAAATGACCGAACCTGTCACAAAACATGTCCGTATGACACAGTTGTGAACGGCTCCTACTGCTTCACTTCTACACAATGTACAGACATGGATATGTTCGTGTATAATGGCGGATGTGTTGAATCCTGCCTACCAGAGACCGTTGTCACAATGTCAGGTGTTTGTGTTCATAATTGTCCAAATGAAACAATCACCAATACTACTCACTGCATTAATCCTAATAACTGCACTGAAGCTGGAAAAGTAATCTACAATAAGACATGTATGGACAACTGCCCACCCGGATCTCCGTATGTTGTTTCTGGAGCTTGTGCCTCAGACTGTCCGCCTGACAAAGTGTTATACCATCACCAGTGTATAACACAACACGGGTGTATACAGGAAGAAGGCAAACTTATTCAAGGTAGATCATGTGTGGAGTCCTGCTCCCGAGACACCCCGAACTTGTATGAAGGAAGATGTCACACAGAATGTCCTTCAGGAACTGTGCTCAATGCTTCACTGTCTACATGCCTTGTAGATTCTGTCTGTGCAGACAGGGGACAATTCATACACAATAAAACATGTATTGCAGAATGTCCACGGTACGTAAGTGGTAAAGCATGTGTTGACGAATGCCCTGAAGGAAATGTGTTGCATCACAAAGAGTGCATTACAATTACAAGGTGTACAAGTTTTAACTATCTGTATATGATTGTGTTTAATGGCACTTGCGTTACATCCTGTCCAGAGGAAGCACCAAATATATACTCAGATTATATGTGCTATGCAGTCTGTCCGCGGAACTACGTTGCGGAGGACTGGCGCTGTGTATCTAAATGCAGTTCAGACAGGGGACAATTCATACACAATAAAACTTGCGTTACAAGTTGTCCTGCTACAGCACCCCTTTTTAATATTGACGGTTTTGGAATGAAATATTGTTTGTCAATATGTCCTGCCAAAACGGTTATCAACGATAAACAATGCATAAGCGATAAGTCATGTAAATCAAAACAGATGGTAATATTCAATGGAGCTTGTCTAGCCACATGCCCCGAAGAGGCACCATTTAATAGTCGTGGGGTCTGTCACCAGCAATGCCCTCAAGGCCAAAGAGCAGGTGACACTGAATGTATTGAGTGTGAATCAGATAAACTCATAGATGGCAAGGAATGTATCTATAAGTTTCAATGTCAAGCAAGAAAAAAGTTTCATCATCAGGGCAAGTGTCTCTTATCCTGCCCACATGGGACGATAGAAAACAAATATGTCCTTGGGAACACGTGTCTAGCACAACCAGACCTCCCATTACTACTGACACTGCTATTTGTCGCAATTTTGGTCTGCATCATCATCTGCATCTGCATGACGATTCCAAGGAATGGAATAGGAACACAGAGCAAAGGAATAAAGGCGACATTGGTAATATTATTTGCATTAACTAAAATGTAATGAAACAACCCCATTACCGCATAGCGCATCTACAGTTTACATTGATCATTCAAAATCGGGTATTTTCCCATAACGTTTAACATTTAAAATTCAGCAAATAAGGGGATAGATGCTTCATTTATGCCTATTATGTTGTACCCATTTGGATAACAACATTTCATAATCATAAGTGACACTTCGGTATATTTTGCAAAAATATGTATTCAATGCTGTAAGACGAGTACACGAGTACCCACGTCTTAAGCTAACTTGCCTGATTGAATCTCAGGCAATGAAAACGTATTTGCAATTTATTCTAAATTGTCCCTGCTTTTAGCGAATTGCATAAGAAAGTAATCAATAACGATAAAAAAAAATTTGAAAACAAATTACTACTGCCTAAAATCAGACTAACTTTAAGATAAGAATACACAAGGCCATTTAGAAAGTGGCCATATGTAAGAAATTTTATATTGGGGATAACACTTTCTTCGTAAAATACAGATACTAATACCTTTTGGGGTTCAGTCCCATCCGGGATTCGAACCCACACTGGCAGAGTGAGACACCTAAGACTATTTTATATTAAAATGTGTTACGTTTGACCACTTTCTAAATGGCATTGTGTATTTAAAGCTTTCGATACACTTGTATCTGTACTTTACTAAGAAAGAGTTATCCCAAATATATTATTTGTTTCTTTAAGATGTATGATTTCTTAATCATTTGTTCAACAAACTTGGAATGAATAACTGACATTTACTTTTAGCTTTCCATATGACATTAATTGGAAACATATCCCTTTTTCATATTCTCGTAAACATTATGGCTAAACTAAACGTCATATCTATGATACAAACATTTGTAACAAATATGTCCAATTGGAAATCCCATTGTAGATATTCCTTTTATACACAATGCAATAACCAGGTAGCAGTAAATCATTTGCCATGTGATCAACAATGTTTTAAATTTCGTAAACATATTGTGTTGTTTCTATTTTTAGACCACCAAGAACAGGCACCAAGTTTATAAAAACCATGGTTTTGAAGAACACGAAGTGGGCGAATGCAGTAATGATACCAATGAGGTCAATATTGGACCATTCCGTCAACGTGGCAATGAAGGAGCTGATGACGTTGACGTTGTGGCTACAGACGAAAATGACCAATATGACATCACTCATATAAAAAGCGATGACCTTGTGGATATCCTGAATGAAATGGAGCAGGGCAGTCAAAGTGAAACATAACATTATATCTACGACATTTAATTCTTGTGTTACAGCAAAGTATTAACAAAGATTAATCAATGGTATCAGTGATATGTCATATTAGTAAGACAGGCAGATGTATTTATATAATTCTGTATAATGGGCAATAGCCATAGTAGTATAGTCATTTGCATTCAACTGAGTACACGGGCACATTGAGGGTACATCAAACTGTATTTCCTCCGTGATAAGCCAACAACACATAATATACCAGTGTACTACAAAGTCTTTACATTCAGAAGATGATGTAGCTTCATTCATTTTCAGTTTCATGAACCCCCACACAAATCCAACGCCAGATTAAAATAATATGTTTCTAATACATCTAACCCATTTAAACGTCCATTTCCATCGATGATCATAACACTACTAGGCTCCTATAGTAATAATGTTTCACCAATATTCCACTGCCTTTACACTGTAAGTAAGTACGATTCATGGTTAATCGATCAGTTCATACATACGTTGTTACAGCTATTATCACTAGAACATGGGTTTTTTAATACATACTAAGTATGTGTTCAAGGTTTTTGTTTTCATTTCCACGCGTCCCTCTGTGTTGATAGGCATCCCCGTGAAACGGAACTACTTTCAGGTATCTTTGGAAATGGACTCCCGCCACTGCCGATGATTTTTCCAATCTCTGCTACGCATTTAAACACAAAAGTATTGACATGGAGTTCTCCCAAATGACCTTGGAAAATTCTTTTGGCACTAACCACGAAACAGTCAAAGGTCAAGATTGGGAAAGCCTCGAAATGTATTTTCCCCGTGAACATCGGGGTTAATTGGTCCTCAGTAATCCATTCTTGTATATCATTTCACGGATGGGGCATTGCTTTCAAAAAAACATTTTGTAATGATTAGCTAAATGTCAAGGTTAGCGTTCAAGGTTTTTAGTAAATTCTTATTCCATTCTTTCTTAAGAAACCCGCAGACATAAGATGCCATTTACCTTTATGTCAAAGGGCAAAGGTTCTTTCGAATTATTGTCAAAAGTTGTATCATAATTATCTCTTGAAAACGGCGCAAAGATTATCAACATATAAGGACACCCTGAGATGGATTTATTTTATCTGGACCCGTGGTAAAGCCCAAGGTCACGAGAAAATTCATATAATGTCATCAACCTCGTCAAGAAATACAGCTTCTTCATTACTTGCTTGAACCGTTTGTAAAGGTAATCTCTTGACACAACTATCCGCACACTGCAATAAGAACATAATTCAACTGCAATCATTGATCTACTTTATGAAACATGGAGATATTTAAATATTTTTTATTCAGTTCAGTATATGATATTACAGAGTTATACATTGAGTAGCTCGCCATGTGGAATACTTATTAGGTGTAGGTTACATACCTATACAGCAAATTTAAGTTGGATACAGGTGTACAACAATGTTTACAAATGGTGAAACGGGCAGGCTACATTTGCCATGTTTAGTGTGAAGCTAAATCCTTACAGCCCATTATTGGAAATTGTTCATGTTTTAAAAAAAAGAGACATATTAACCAGACAATTCATTTGCCATATTGTGTCAAACTGTCTTATTGTATTGTTTTTGTGTGTAATTGATTTCTCTATCCGAAATATATCAATTAAAGTCTTCAGAAACTTTTCAAGTGACACTTTGTTTTTCTTAATACTTGTATATATTTTTATATGTATATATCTTTTGCATGCCAGTATGATGTGATTTAACAGAATGTTAGAGTTGTACCCAAGTAAAATAGAGCATTTTGTAAATGTAAATTGTTTTGAACATTTTGCATTCAGAAAACATTCAAATTTAGCCCAAAACTCTTTAACATGCTTACAATCCGAATATACATAAAGTAAGGATTCAGCATCAGTGCCAGAAAATGAGCACAGATCATCATCGAGAATTTTCATTTTAAACAATTCTTTCTTTGTATAGATGATGCGATTAATAAATGTATTCTGAAAATCAAGTAATTTTACATCTTTTGTACATTTTCTGTATCTGATAAAAACATCCTTCCATGATATATCTAAGTCGAGAATGGTATCCCATTTTTCAAAGACTGTTGGGAGATTTGCTGTAGTTATAGTCTTATCATAAAAATACCTGGAGCCTTTAGGCGCTACAAGTAAGTCCATCAAAATTGTATTTAAATGTTTATTATATAAGATAATGTGATTATTTCTAATAGTATCTTTCCAGGATTTTGGCATGTTTAATAGAACTTGGTAATAGTCAATAATTGTGCCTTTAATTGGGTATTTTCTTTTAAGTTCATATTAGGGCATTATATCATCTTTAAAGAGTAAATTCCCTTTAACAACCAGTTACTTATAATGAAATCGGTTTTTTTTTAAACTAATGATTACACCAAAAAGGTTCTGTTTGTGGAGTTTGTTTTGTGTCTTCTATACAGTGTTCCCCAAGCAGTCAAAACATCTCTCCAGTAAGGGTTAGCTAAGTGTATACAATATTGGCCCCAAGTAGGAATATGTTTTTGGGTGGAAAGATGCTAGGGTTATTACAGTTTTTGTTTTGGAGATGTTTTTTGAGAACTGACAGTTTTAGAGAATTTATAAAAGACCTTACCTCTATCATTCTCAGTCCGCCTTCGTCATATTTTCTAATTAAAGTTGTTAGTTTTATTTTGTTCCTTTTAGCATTCCAGATGAATCTGTACAATATTTTGTTTAGTTCATCAATAAATTCACTTGGAGGGTTTGGAAGAGAGGAAAATATTTGTACTGAGGTTGACAGGGCCATGATTTTGACAACAGTAATTTTACCTATCAATATTAAATTCTTTTCCTCCATTTCCCTAAAATTTGATTAATAATTTCAATTCTCTTCTTTGTATTGATTACCCACAGATTATTTAAGTTCGAATTAAGCTTTATTCCCAATATGTCAAAGTCCCCACTGTGCCTGTCTAGCTTCACATCCTGACATGATTTGATGTCACAGCTTGTCATTGAGCCTATCCATATTGCTTTTGTTTTATCAATATTGATTTTTAATCCTGACATTTTATAAAATCATTTGGGTGTCAATCGCTGCACTTAAACTTTCGTCATTCCCATCTAGAAATATGTCAGTATTATCAGCATATTGTCCAAGTTTATGTTCCACATTATTCAGTTTGATACCTTTTATTGCATTATTATCACGAATCATTATTCCCAACGTTTCTGCAACGAGCATGAATAGATATGGAGACAATGGGTCTCCTTGTCCATATTGCTTTTCGTTACAGAAGAATGTAGAAAGGTGTCCATTTTGTATGATGCAAGATGAAGTTTTATTTATTAGTGTGTGTATCCATTTTCTTATGTTAGGTCCAAAGCCAAACATGTCCAGTGTCAACATGGTAAATTGTTTTGAAACAGTACCAAAAGCTTTTTCAAAGTCTATGAGTAATAGTAAACCAGGCTTATTTTGTAATTTTGATTCAAACAAAATATCACAAAGTATTCGTTTGTTTTTGCTAATACATCTTCCAGGGATAAAGCTAGCTAGGTTTCTGTGTACAAGAGTATAAAGTGTTGTTTTAATTCTGTTTGCTATACATGTACTCATAATTTTATACAATGAGAGAAATTGGTCGCCAGTTTTTGAGTAGTTGTTTATCTTTAGTGCCTTTAGGTATACAGGTAATGACACCTCTATTCATTGTTAGACTTAAAGTGTTATTTCTAAATGTTTCTGTAATATATTTGTATACCCATATTCCAAGTTCTTTCCAGAAAAAATTGAAAAACTCTACAGGGAATCCATAAATACCTGGGCTTTTGTTATTTTTCATAGATTTTACGGCCTTTGTTATTTCATTCATGTTAATCATGTCTTCTGAATAATCAAACTATGATTTACTAAGTTTTGGTGTCTTAAGTTTGTGTAATAAATTTTTGGATTCATTAGTTATTTCTCCACTCTCTTACTTACATTTATTCTCACAGTTGTCTTAGCGCCTCCTGGGTCTTATCAATAGAGAAAAACAATCAAGCCCAACACCTACCAGGAAGATAATTTCAACATAGCACGTAACATAAGAAAGAACGTCTACGCTTGCAGTGAGTGAGTATGATTTTACGCCGCTTTTAGCAACATTCCAGCAATATCACGGCTGGGAACATCAGAAATGTAGTGTAGTAGTGAATCGAGCCCTGGCCTTCGGCGTGACGAACGAACGTTTTAACCACTGGGCTATTCCACCGCCGCTCTAAGCTTGTATGTAGTTCCAAAATCTGTGAGCACTTCTCGCCGAACCTACGCCAATGAACAGCAATTCATATATGTCTGGCTCTAAAGACACAGGTGCGAGGTAGCCATGTCCCTTTACAAATGGCTGGGGTTCCAGACCTACTTTCAGCGCAAGGATACCCGTGACGTAAATATCGTCTATCCAATAGAAACGCATGTTACATGAGGCCTTGTGCAATTGTCTGACGGCATCTAATGAGATCATATACGCTCTCCCGGCACAGTGATTGGGATACGCTTTGAAGGGGTAGACGCTTTCATTGACATACCATTTCACTTTTGGATTTCGTAAAACCACAGGAGCTTTGGATACAGAACAATAAAGAAAATCTCGTTTGTAACCATTCTGATTAATGAACTTGATTAAATAAGGTACATTGACCAGAACGTCATGATCCAGTTTGATAATGAGTTTAACTTTAGGACAGTTTGCTAATATCCAGTCATATGCCATGATGTGTTTATATGTGAGATTACGGTAGTCGTCAATGAAATTGCCTTGAACAATATCTCCGTAGATGCTAGCCTCGGAGTCAACTGACTTCTGAATGGTCACATTTGTTGTCATGCCAATCATAAAAACAGTAGCCATTGACACGTGGCCGCTGTTTCTCAGTGTCATCCATGTTTTTCGCGCAGCTTCCCTTAACTCTACAGACGTTGTCGAAGAGTGCACAAAAAATAAAATATCCAGATGCCTTGAACATACATTTGCACTCAAGGAGAAGGCAAATAAATGTAAATTCAACAAAGGATCTGTCGATTCATTTTCAATTTGGAACCATTCAAGAACTGAAGTTTCAAACACGGTCTTTGGTTTGTAAAGACGATTGATAACTGTTAATATTATTATTACAATAACCGCCCACAGAGACCGTTTTAAGCTTCGGACCCTCATCCTTCAGCACAACAATGAAACAATAACAACAAGCCGTAGATCAAATCTGTCTTCATTGCTCTCCAATCCACAAGTAGTTTCCTCCGTGCTGATAAATATACACGACAATCCTGTCCTCGAAATGCCACCTCATGATAACTTCGTTAAGATTTATCCTTCACGTAGTTGGCTTTAATAATATGTCTGACAATATTTCATATATCCCAGTGTGTGATTTTCAACATTTTCTGTTGTGTTGATTGAAGAAGATATTTTTCGAAACACACAAACACAATGTATTGACCACGTAGCACCTGGTACTAGAGCCAGGGTTTCGTATACACAACACATTTCCACAGGGCGTGTTCACACTGTTGATAGAATGCTTTGTTTGATTGAATATTGCTGTCACATTAATGATTTCTTTTTGTTTTAAAGTTTCCTTCACCCATATATCCATCCATCCTTGAAAACATCTCGATGTTAACATTCCTACGACTGCTGTCTGACTAACGCCTTTCCACTCGGCCACGATTGTATATTGAATAAAACAGGCAACACGTTGCAAACCATCCACATCACTCTGAGAAAAAATCGGTGTCGTGACTACAATGTTCATTGATTCAACAAAGGATCAAAGAATTGATATGAGTTCCAACATAAGACCAATCTCATAACAACGATAACAGATACTATAAATCGACCTACATAGTCAAAACTCACGTCGCTCTTGGTATTTATTAATGAAGCATACTTCACAGTGCCCAGGTACAGAAGCTTACCTTTAGTAAATTATTTCAAACTCTACTCTATTTGTATATTCAGTTTTATCACCACAGTAAGTAATAAGTCAGTCCTAGACGTTTACCACGGTGATGAAACATGCGCATGGGTATGGTGCTGACAACCAAACAATCATAATCGGGACAGTGTTAGGATTTGAACCCCTAGGGTTAAGATCCTGTCATGCCTAAGGGACTTAGGGACTAACTCAGTGATGATGGACAAGGAATCGTGGTGCCTGAGCCGGCATGGCCACATGTGTACCCTGCTGTTATTCATAGTGATAAATAAGCCGCTCAAAGTCACATACTCTATCTGCCTAATTTGATCTAACCACTTTGCTTAATTGTACTTATAGTTATCCTTTAATGTATCAGTGCATCTGTGCATTAGATTGGTTGTATTTTCTACAGTCAAGAAATGAGGTTAGGTGAGGTAAAATGGAGTTTAACGTCACGTCCAAGATTATTGCACTTATATAGCGACGTGCATGCACGTGTGTGTGTGTGTGTGTGTGTGTGTGTGTGTGTGTGTGTGTGTGGCTGCTTGTACTGGTCCGGACTGATGCAAATTTATAGTGCTAGCCCACTGAGATATCATGCCGCAGTTTAACATGAATACCCCACTCAGACACAGTCTACTGACTCCGGTTAGAGGTTTGATTTGCTCTTTCTTCTGTATTATAGGGAAGTGAGTGAATGTTGGTAAACGCCGCGGGTGATCTATACAGAAAGTAGAACAACGTCCCACGCTATGGGGTCACGATGACACGCAATCTGCGAAGTGACAGAGCCTGACAGCACCCAACCCAAATACTAATATCAATCAGTTACCCCAACAAACATAAGGTATTGGTGACCAATTCTACCCTGAGGCCTGAGGCAAAATAGCATAACATTAAATGTTAAATTGAGGAAGTGAAACGTTGTGCTGAACATGGCCACAGTTTTGGTGTCCAGCAATTTATCAGGCACTCAACTCTGAGTGTGCGTGAGTGTGTGTATGAGCGCGCGCGTGGCTAGTTGTACTATGCCTGACTGATGTATGTTTAATAGTGCCAGCCCACCGAGATATCATACCGCAGTTTGACATGGATACCCCACTCAGACATTGAATTAGAAAACCATGATAATGGACAGTTTTTAGTCTTGCTAGTCTTTTTAGTAATGCTAAAGTACATTTAGACTACAAACAAATACTTTGGACAACAAAGTTTCAAATTGCAATGACTTTTATTGATGTGGACAAACAAGCTCATAAAACTACAGGAGCATGCTTCATATTGCAATGTACATAATACCGCATTTTATGATCTAAACCAGCTGCATACCGCACAGTAGCATGCTTACATCCTCCAGGTGTCAATATATAAGCACTGTATAGATTGAACCAGCATCTAACAATACATCGTCCTATTATCAATATGTGTGTACTACTGATTCTGCAACTGCTTCTTATGCTGCATAATGTGATCATATGTCTGGCGAATACCTGCATTTCAAGTACACATTCAGACACATCACATCAAAATAATTTGTGTATCATAAACGTGGCATAAAAACATATGACAACCATTTGTGCTTTAGGCATTTCAACAAAACGTTCAACAGCAGACAAAAACATATGTTAACAGTTTGAACACGCATGTCGGCACCACAAAAAATATCACAACTTAGTGCTTGAGGGAATATCGCAAGGAATAAAGTCACCGCCATAAAATATTCCCATAAAATGAATGCACTTTAAAATACATACACGTCCGACACCAGTAGCAACTTGATGCCTTGTAACAAGAAATTAAGAACCACAACAACATAGGAATATTGCATTTTGAGAAACATTTCAGGCGAAAACGTAACAGAGAATAAAGGAATAGCCCAAGAGAAAACAACAACATCGAATGTGCGATAGGTCAAACAGAAATAGACTTCATTTGTACATTAACAGCAATATAGCGGTCATTGAGCGATCATGATAACATATATACAAGCAATAACAACAATAGCATGTCACTGTATTGACCTCACAGAAGCACATGTGAGACACCGTCCCGTATGTTCGCATGGGTACCCAACTCAGACACAGTACATTGACTCCGAGCTGACCAGTCCTTGAGGTATCCCTTTAATGCCAAGCGATAAGCGGCGTTATAGACGTACCATCTATTAACGTCTGTTGGAATAACGCGGCCGGATATCGGACCACCGACCTCCCGCTTCCTGACAATTATAGTGCCAAAATAACCCGTTAGGCAAGAGTGATCTTAAATAAAAAAGGTCGTCCGAGGGTCAACGGATACCTGAACATGTAACATAATAAATGCATGTATAAGGATTAAATTACTCCAAGTTGTATCTGAAAACTGCCTGAGAGTTTAATGAAAATCGCCTGTGTACTTAAAACCATGAACATCTCAATTTTTCATAAATATATATATGTGTGTGGGTATATACTGTCATTGTGATATTCAGATTTATCTTCAATCATGCATATGTGCATATTATGTACATAAATATTTTTTTAAAAACAAGCCATTCATGTACATAAAACAGTAGTACTGACGTTAACTACATTAATTCGATATCCGAGGGACATTGTTATGTTATCAGTTGGCAGGCGGACGACCTATAAAACAATATAGTGCCAAAAGGGATTCTTCAAAGAACAGGACATTATACCATCTCAAATATTCCATCGAGATAGCGGAGTTTGAGTCAACGAGATTCCAGTGTAAATGCATGCGTACATGGCAAATTTACAACAGGTCAATAACTTGTACACCTTTTCGAAATGACCACATAGATTCTTGAAATAACGAGAATACGGTTGATCTTGTAACCCATTAGTTCTTGCCTAACAACATAGCTGTGCTCTTTGTACGAACACCCTAAGACACAACACACGAATCTGTCTTTTGACTCACATTTGTTGGCTTATTTTGTTTGTTTGTACCTTCACTAAAACGCTTGGTAGGGGAGACTCTCCCTTTCGGTGACCTCCTTTTCACTATATCGTCAGCTTCCGGCGTAGACATCCGGCGAGCCTGATTCTCCCAAGGTGAGAGAGCTCTCGGCGGTGTGACGCAAGGTGATGTTCCGCTTGGGGGTGTCTCAAACTCATCTGTTGTCGAAGGTTCATCAGTGTGTTCAATATCAACCATTGCTGGCGCGTCAACATCCGTACCTGCTTCAGAAGAAGGTATCAAATCTAGCATAAGATGTGAGACCTTTGTTGGGATAGGTCGGTCAATTTCTGCATCTTCATATTCCGCATCTAATGACTGTTGATCACACTGTGACCATCCGGCAGCCGGGTCATCAACGTTAGTGCCATCAGGATTTGCAATTATTTCTTCTGTAGCCACATGACCCTGATCACCACCTTCATCAACTACTGTGGAACTCTCGTCTTTATCTCTCTCAGAGGTTCTCTGACGAAAGTTATCTGGATAGAGATCGTTTGGCTCTGCGTCGACAGCACTGGACGGCGATGAACGTAAGGGGCAGCTTGTGGTTCTTGAATTTTCATCACAGGACATCGGTCTCTCACTGGGTAAGTCCTCTGGAGACTGACAAACAGAATTGTCCATCCATGACAAACTTGCCCGTGGGTCTTGAACACCTTCTTTCTCAGCAGTAGTGTCTTTTAATGCACCTTTGGCGTCTTTCGTACCACTATTCACCGATGCCTCATCAAAAGACTTTGCTTCACTGTCAACTCCTCTTGTTGTCAAGTCCACATCATGTGTATCACTGTCTTCAGTTTTGTCTTGTTTATCCTCAGTAATAGTTTCCAGCAAGCTGTCATCTTTTACTATTGCAGATGCATTTGCACTGTGTATTTGAGTATGTAAGAGACTCCTATTTTCAGAATCGATCATAGTGCTCTCTGTAATATCATCAATCTGTAAACCCTCTGGGGACTGACAAACAGGGTTATTCTGCCCACACGAATCTCCTAGTGAGTCTTCCAAGCTAGTCCCGTGGACAATAGTCACAGAATCACCTTCAGTTTCAGATGCCTGCTCAACTACGTTTGCTATTTCAGCATTTGCCCCAGTCTTTGCATTATCTTTAATTTGTGAAGTAAGCCAATGATCATCTCCACCACTGACATCTGATGCATCCTTTACATTGAAACTCTCCTCTTTCTTGTCAATCGCGTCTGATCCAAACTTATTCTGAGTCAGGTTCTCGTCAGGTCTGTCACGCCTCGCCTGTTTCTCGTCAGGTTCATTATCCTGCTCAAGCCTTGCCTCAAGTTCTTCAAACATCCTCAATTCCTCTTCTTCATCAGTCAACCCAATCAGTCTCTTCTCAAACTCCTCGTTCTTCTCCAGATCCATACTCGCAACTTCTGCATCACACTCTTCATTATCCCATTCAGACAATTCCGTGAGTTTATCTGCTGAAGACCTTAGTTTTTCTAAATGTTTGGCCTTTGTCATAGCAGGTTTCCCGTCCATCTTCAGATTGGTATCAACTCGAGGATCCGTGTGCACCATCGACATAGTTTGTTGATTTATATCTACCACTGATGCATTATCACTGATCTGTTTATTATCATGTTGCTCAGAAGAGGATGGTTCACATTTATATTTGAATTCTCTGTCATTATTCTTTTCCTGATCAGTTGCAGGAAGCATTGTATCTACTTCAACCCTCGTTTCATCAATAAGTCCAGATTGCTTCTGTATCTCAACATCAGCGGTATGTATTGCTTGTTGAAGCTTCCT